CCCCCCCCAGTCTGTCCGGCTGCCCCATCGCTGCCGCAGAGAAGATGGCAAAGGTCCACGAGAAGAGTCACACGCCTGACAGCGGCCCGAAGAGCAATCAGACATCGGACCGTGTCCTCAGGTACCGAATGGTCCCAGTCAGACACTTTGTGATAACGATGTGCAGGGAGGCCGAATGGTGCAGTGAAGTCTATACGTGCCCAGAATTTACCCTCTCTTCCTCTTTGTCACTTTAGTTTAGGAAACAGGTGCAGATTATATTTTCCATTAGTTCTTGAATCAGGGATGCTGAATGGTGTCCCCACAGCTTAGTAGCTTCAAAACCCTTAAGATGTGGGAAGCTCAGTAGTTCAGTGAATCTATAGACACACTCAAGTCATTAAGACCCAGAGGACAAAACATTTGGATTCATTTGGATTTAGAGCAGCAGTAGGTCATATTTAGCCTTGCCACTTAAATCAGGGGATGCTGAATGGTGCAGTGAAATCCCCATCCTTATGTTGCAGATTGGATCCTCTTGAATTAATTGGGGAAGCTGAATAGTGTAGTCCAGTCACATCGTCCTGTTTGTACCATATTTACATTACACCTCGGGTAAATCACAGATACCAAATGGTGCAGTGACATCACCATGAGCTAACCCGGCTCCTTCTGTGTTTCAGGCCCATGTGCTTCGTCAAGCAGCTGGAGATTCCACAGTACGGCTACAAAAACAACGTCCCGACCAGCACGCCACGGTCCAACCTGGCCAAGGAGCTGGAGAAATACTCCAAGACCAGCTACGACTACGGCGGCTACGACAGCCAGCACGGCGGCTACGGGAAGAGAGGCCCGACAACCAAGTCCCACCACGGGCGAGACACCTCCCCGAAGGGATACGATGGTGAGGAAAGTCAACACGCACCCACGTGCTCGTCCAAGATCCTCAATCTCATTCTGGTTTCAATGAGAGTTAGAGGAACTCACTCACTTTCTGTAACATTGTGAGATGGAACGTTTCTCAACACTTTCATTGATTTCTCAGAGAATAATTCATGGATCATTTTTAGAAGTCTGATTTTCATGAGTTCTTGGTTCAGATCTAAATTAAAATCTGAATCTAGCGCCGTCTGAGCGCCCCTCTAGTTTTTTGTACTTTAATATTTCGACTTCCTGTGGCATCGTTTATCTTCAGTTCAGGAATTTAACACAAAGAAAGATGAGAAAAGAAAGATGTCCCACTCGTTTATCTGAAAAATCTGTAAAACCTCTTTTCCAAATTTCTTATTATTCATTTGCCGAATTATTCACCTGTAAAAAAAAAAAAAAAATTTTAATTCACATTTGAGTTTTTAAAAATAACAGATGGATCGAAGCTGAATTTCTTTCAGTCCCGTGTCTCGTTGGAGGGAATATAACCTGCAAAATGCACTATGGGAGATTTCTGTTCATTTTCCTATTCTCCGGAGAACATTTTGTACTTGATGAAACCACACACACACATACACACACACACACACACACACACACACACACACACACACACACACACACACACACACACGCTCAGTTCTCTTTGTTACAGCCCTGGAAACGCCAGTGTTTTCCACCCTCCACATGGCTGGAGTGAAGGCAGAGCAGAGCTATGGAAATGCCAAGCTCGGAGCCTGCCTCCTCTGAGCGGAGTATGGAGGGATGGAACGAGGGAGGAGGTGCAGATGGAGGGATTGTGAAACAGGAGAGAGATAATGAAGGCGAGCCCTGTTTCTTTGGCTGGGAGCCATTAGTGAGACGCAGGCGGGAGGGAGGTTTTTTAGACGAGGTGTCTGCGCTCCCCGTCGTCACGACTCCCTCCCTCCTCTCCGCCGCCGTTCCCTCCATCAGCATCACTCCAGCATGCCGAGCCCAGAGTCGCTATTGTACAGTCGCTATGTCGTTCGTTTTTTTATTGTCCCCACATACGCAGCTTATTAGGCTTCTTATTTTATTCTTTAAATCTGTTTCCATGTCTTAAACAACAGTTAGTTTATCTCTGAGCTCATTCGTTCCCACTGACAATTTAAATCTTCTCCTTCCAGTTTGAACATAGTGTTTTTCAAAAAAAGCTCAATCATTTACCAAAATACCTGATAGTGGTAGTTTTTAACAAATGTCTTTCAAAATAATGAGGGTGTTTGTCTGGGACTATTTTCAGTGGTGGATTAATACAGAATATAGTGATTATGTGGTTATTAACACAATTGTTAAATGTAGACTCTATGAAAAACTTAACGTAGACAAGAAGAAAATGAAGCCAATTAGGAAGTGCCTGAAACCTGTGTTCTCTCTCTGACCAGCAGAGGGCGACTCCACCGGTAGTTTCTATAGAAGTCTGCTTCTCACTTTGTAACGTCAGTAAAGTAAAACATCCTTCGAAACCAGTTCACTTGTTACCATGGTGAATCGTCATGGTAACTCCCACTGAACTGTGAACCCACTCCTCTTCTGAACTTTATTCACGGTTCTGACGATGTCGCTGATAATTGACTCCGCCTCCGTCACGTGAACAAGCTCGGGCTGTTAACTGAGACCGTTGATGACCAACTTTAGAGACGAATTGTTGAGCAGAACCAGGCTCACGATGGCTCGAGCCCTGAATAATAGTTCATATTATTATATCAATGTTATTATTAGTATCGTAGCAGAGGGAGCTGAGCAGGAACACGGGGGCAGCAGGAGGTTTGTAATCACAGATCCAGAGTCTGCAGCTCCAGAGGCAGAAATAACCTGCAGAGAGAGAGAGACACACACAGAGAGAGAGAGAGAGACTGAACGCTGATGTGCTGGAGGGAGAGAACAGAGTTAAAGTGATGCAGTCGTTCTCAGAAAGTTTACAATCGACTCGACTGTAAATACTGAAAGTGTGAGATAGCAACAGAATAAGTTCAGTGTGAACGATTCTGTCGGCAGGAAATATAAAAATAATGTTTTCATTAGTGTTTCATCAGCTAAAACTAATAAAGGTGTTTTCAGACACTCCGGACAATCTCCTGAAGTCATCCAGCTGTGACTGAGAACGCTTCCTGTCAACCTCCTCATAAAGAGTATTCAGTTGGTTGTAATACACAACTTCACCACTAGATGCCACTAAATCCTCTGCACTGAATCTTACAGGGTTTGGATTTGAAGACGTTTTAATTTAATAATTTGTTCTTTGGAAATCTGTGGCACAGAGGAATGACGTACATCAGGTTTTGCGTACACACAGAACTAATTGGAGAATTAGTTATTGGCTCTGTAGTTTTCATAAGATCTGTCAAAGATGACCAGCATTGAAGTTTCTCTATTTCTATTTTTGAACGAATTAATCAGAAATCCTTTTTTAAATTTCAGATCTTCTCTAACAATCCATCTGTTGCTCACTTTGGCTGCACGCCACCATTACTCTAACCGTTCCTGTGCCTCCCTGCAGCTAAACGCTACTGTAAGACGTCGAGCCCGGCGAGCAGCACGACCAGCAGCTACGCACCGAGCAGCAGCAGCAGCCTGAGCTGCGGCGGAGGAGGAGGCGGAGGAGGAGGAGGTGCCGGAGGGGGCGGAGGAGGAAGCAGCGCCAGCAGCACCTGCAGCAAGAGCAGCTTCGACTACACCCACGACATGGAGGCGGCCCACATGGCGGCCACGGCCATCCTCAACCTGTCCACGAGGTGCCGCGAGCTGCCGCACGTGCTGGCAGGGAAACAGCAGGACCTGTTGACGCAGGTAGATGGAGGCGGAGCCAACGCACTGACGCTGATCTCATACGTCACCTTCACCCTGATGATGTCAGGAGGGGCTCAGATGGGATCAGACTTCTAACTTTTAATTGAAAAACTTTTTTTCTGATTATTAAAACTACTGTATTTAAAATGATTATCACTGAGTACTTTTACTTTCTACGTTTACAGCTGTAGTCATCAGATTCTTCTTGTGTCCTCATCAGAGTCCGGTGGATGATCTGGACGACAGCGGTGCAGTGGACGTGGGCGGTCAGCCCGGCGGCCCCGAGGGCAGCGGGACGGTGTTGACCCCCCTGGAGCCGATGTCGCCCCAGCGGCAGGCGCTGCTCAGCAGCCGCTGCTACCAGCTGAGCGAGGCCGACTGCTGGGACCTGCCCGTCGACTACACCAAGATCAAACGACTGGGAGACGAGCAGGATCACAAAGAGGTAACGGGAAGGCCTGCGTCACTTCACAGACACGGTCCAAACAGACACGGTCCAAACAGACACGGTCCAAACAGACACTACAGACGTCACGTGTTTGTCTTTTCAAAGATAAAAAAGAGAGGGACTCTTTTTTAGCAGAATGATAGTTGTGAGACTATAAATGATGAAAGATACGGTGAAGAATTGAAACTAAAGATGAAGTTTAGAGTTTATAAAAGTCTTTGGTTTATAATTGAGTCGACACTGTTGAGAAGTGGAGGTAGTTTACAAAGCTGCAGTTATAAATGAGCTTTATGGTTTGCATGATTTAAATCTTCTAGGTTTAATTTACAAATTTACAAAAGCTCTTTTTTTTTATTACTATGATTTCTGTTAATTTTAATTGAACCAGGAAAGTCCCAGTGAGCAACAGTTTGTCTTCTGCCACAGAGTCGTGGTCAAGATGGGCAGCAAACGAAAAGAAAGTTTCATGTATAAACTAGAATGTGACTCAGTAGAACTCGTGATGAAAACACACAAACAAACACATGAAGCGCAGCGATCAACAGGAATCAAAGGCAAAAATGAAACATGCAGAATTGTGTGGAAACTGATTTTAAAATGTTTGAGCAGAGACAGAAGTGATTCCAGCTCATTCCCAGCAGGTGGTGCATGAAACTTCTTTAAAACTGAGACGGAGCCAAAACGCTTGTGTGGACAAAGATGGTTTCAGTAGTGAGACGAGTGTAGAGTTACCGCTCTGCTCTGGTGGTTCGGACCTCGACGATGAATCATTGTAGCTTCTGAGACGAAGTATCAACACTGCAGACGACTGTAGAGTTTAGAGTTTGCTATAAATGTTAAGAATCTTTTACAGCCTATAGTTGAGGGTTTATATGCTGCTTCTTAGGAGAGACGACTCTGCGGCAGAGTTTCCGTTCAAAGTACCTCTGCAGATTAACGGCCTCATATACACTGAGACAAATTAATGGATTTTTGGAGGTAATTTCTCCACGAGCTCAGTTCCAGCGATGCAGAGGCAGATCACAGAATCATTTAACTCTTTTTTTTAATGCACAGATTAAAATGACGATCGTTGGATAAGTTACTCTAAGGACCAAAAACTGAATCTGTTTTAGGCCAAAGTGAAACTCGACATGTCGTCACAGTTATGGTCGAGAGCTTTAACCACTTAATTTAACGAACATGGAGGCAGCCTGTCCTGTAATTCTGCTGCGTGTGAAGCATTAAATTGAAAGATTTAAAGAACATGTTTGTTTGAAAGCGTGCGTGTGTAGATTCAGCGATAATCGTGGTTTGTAAGCTGTTGCACGGCAGAGAAGCACGGCAGAGAGACTGTGGACTTTTGCGAGGGCGTTCTGCTGGTTGCTGCTGGTGCGCATAATTTTTGCATCACTTTACATACATAAGAGTTTGTAAGTTCAGAAAAGTGTAGTAGGTGCGTATGTACATCCTCGCTAAGCAAAGGCATGAAAACGGCAAAAGAGCGACGGTTGCCTGCCAAAAGCTTCTTTCTCACCCCGAAGCCTCCAAATGCTGACACATGTTCAATGATGCAAACAAATAAAAACAAAGCTGCTTCTGTAACAGAGGAGCTCGCTTTATTCTCCAGGATAAAAAAAGATGTCGATTAAAGGCTCCTGAGCAAATAAAGAGCGACGGGAATCTAAATGATTGTGTTTACGTTTCTTTCAAAAAAATAACGTCCTGCAGTAAGTTTAAAGAATGAGATACGTTTATATTTCTGTTCTTCCAGTTTCACGTACATCAAGAGTTAGAAACGTAAACTTTCATACATTAAAGTTCTGGAAAATTTCAGGAAAACATCTGGACGTCAGTTTTGGTCTGAAAACAGCTTTAGTTGACGATTCACCTGCTCCGAGCGAGAACACGTTCACAGACAAAGCTTTAACATCTGTAAAAACTAATTTACTGCTAATTTAACCCAGTGATATATTTCTGTGAGAATATGTTAAAATGTTTTTAGAAATGTTCCAATTTACATTCAAAAACATACGTTTGTAATAATCTATTTAAAAAACTAATTGAAATGGAGACAGAAGAAAAACTGCTGCAGGATGATGATACATCAGAAAGATGATAAAACCAAGTCTTGTGTAGACAATGATGCTGCAGCGAAAGTGGAAAAAATCTACTTTATTCTTGTTTGCAACTTTTGATGAATGCAGAGGTGGAGTTTTTAGTTTAATTTCCATATTTGAGTTTAAGTTTTTCAGTCTTTGGAAACACTTGTGACTTCTACAGTTCACAGACGTTAGATCAACAATTTAAATTATTTTATTTTCTCATCATTTCTTAAAGACTTCATGAAATAAAAATCTATTTAATTCAGTAATTACAGTTCAAATGTCTAAGACAGTCGCTGATTTTCCGGAGGAATTTCCTTGAAAGTTTTGCTCCATTTTAATGTAATAAACATTTAATATCAAATAACTATGAGAACATTTATTTTTCTTATCAAGACAAGAAGAAGAAAAGAAAAACAAATATTTATTTAGGATGCAGACTAGTTGGTTATGGATGAGAGATATTGAGTCAGCTGATCAACGTGATATGTGTTTTTATTTATTATATTTCAGAGCATTCAAAGTCAAAATAAAAAGTGTGATGAGGTTTTTTAATCTGTAAAATTGAAGCATTTTCACTTTTATCGTTCACTAAAGTCCAGAAATCTGCTTTTATCAGTGTGATGAGCAGCAACTCATGAGAGAATAACCCTTGTGGTGGTGGTGGTGGGTGCAGGTTTCTCTCCTGCAGGCTCAGTGCGCTCCCATGTGCACAGAAGCAGAACTTCGTCAGCTCACACTCTGCAGCTCTGCAACGCTGAGTTACGCCTCTAATACACAAGTAAAACACGGCAGATCGTCTGCACGCTTCAGGTCCTCACAGGCCCGATATCACACAGAGCAATCCACGCAGCAAATTGCTACATTTGCAGTGTTGGATTTAGAGCGGCGAAGTGAAAGGTTTTAATCAGGGGAGTAATTGCGTTTGTTAATGAAGCACAACGTTGCAGAGGAGGCCGGAGCCTGGAGCCCGGTGGCTGATGGGATTTTTTCCCGCAGACAGTCGGGAACAAGTTCTGCTCCCGACTGAGGAGGCGTGATGTGTGGACTACAGAGCAGACTGCGGCGCTCCTATCCTCAGACGCTCTGCAGGAGGAGTTAGAGATAAAGGAGACAGGTCTTCTCTCACCTTCAGCTGATGTGACGGATGATTCATGGGAGAAAAACTAAATTCTCTGCGAATCATCTGGCAACAATGAGACTTCCAACACAAGCGTCCTGTCGGGAACTTGATTTATATATTTTTTAAATACTTAAATAAAAGATGTTATTTAGAATGACTGGACCCCTGCTGATAAAATAATGCACCACAGGAAAACAAATGGTTGAAACACATCAATGATAATAATAACATTAATAATAACAGAGATAAAGAAGTTTTTAACTGAGACCTAAAAGAAAATATGAAACTGTCTGAATATAGATGAAAACTTTTATTTCACTGAATAAACAAATTGGAATTGTTTCACTCCCTAACGACAGCATGGGTTTAGAATTCAAAGTATTTATCACACGTGTAAGTTTAAAGATAATAAGCAGCATTTTAGACACTGGTCAAATAACAATTACCACAAAAGTTAATGTTCAGTGAGGAAAAAAAACAACTTATTCAAACGCCTCATTAGGAGGCGAAAGGGAAATAGATCATTAGCTGATCCCCGGAGGACAAGAAGGAAACACAGAGACACTGAGAAAAGAAAACTGCTCTTTATTCAGTCATTTACAGATATTTAATAGTTCTGTACACAATATGTGATAATTCCATTAAGTTTATTTCATTGTTGTTTGTCTAAAAGGATTTTTTGTCCTTTTCTTCCTTCACGTGTTGTGTTGATGTAAAACTTGAAGAAGACGTACATGTTTGTGAATTAGGTGTACAGGTCTGCAGGGTTCTACTCCCCAAAAGTGGTGGATTGTGTTGACATGGCAAGTTGTGTATACTTACTTGTGTGAACGTGGATTGTGTACTGACTCGGTGTAGTCGGCCTTTTTCTCGTCCCTGCACCAGGGCGACGAGCTGGACCCCTTCCAGGAGCTGCTGGACGAGCAGCGCTACCCGACCGAGGTGACCATGCCCAGCCCCAAGCACCACAAATACCCGCCCTGCAAGGAGAGCAAGAAGGAGCTCATCACGTACGTCCAGACAAACACACACAAACACACAGACACACAAACACACAGACACACACAAACACAGGGGTGAAAACATAACCTCCTTGACAGACTCTCGGCCCAGAATCTCTTTGAATAATTCACATTTCAACACAGCACACATTTCATATTCCCTCTTCACACCGCAGGTTGGGATTGTTTTGTGCGTCTCTTTCCCTCCTGCAGGTTGTCGAGCTGTCAGCTGGCCGACAAGAACATCCGCGGGATGATGACGACCAACTCGCAGGAGCTCAGGTGAGTCCACAAACGTTCTTCGGTCAGTTTGAGTCCAGATGAAGCTGA